GAGGGACGGGGGCGCGCGCGGCGGAGGAATGCGCGCGCAGCTCGGGGCCGCGCCCCCTCCGCTCCGAGGCCCCGTTCGGGAGGGGTGGTGGGGGTGGCGGCCGAGGGACTCCTTTGCCCCGTCAGGAATGCGAGGAAGGAGACTGCGCAGCGGCCTGTGGAATGTGGGGGGCGGCGACGGCCGGCCCGAGGGGCGCGCGGGCTGCGCGGGGACGCGGGCGAGCCAACGGTGGCCTAGGCTCCGGTCCGTCCTGGGAGCCTTAGGGTGCACTCCAGATCTCCCCACCAGGCTGAGCCCCGAGCCCACAACCTCCCCATACTCCTCCCAGGCGCTCTGCTCAGGGAGGGCAGCCTGATGCTGCCTTACTCCATCCACATGGATGTGACACCAGTGTGGGAAGGCTGGGAGCTCCCAAAGCGGGATACCAATGTGGAGATGCTGACAGTTTCTAAAACGGGTCGCCAGTGTGGCCATTTTAGCCACTTTTAGGTCTCTCCCTCCCAATTACACATTCTGGGACTTAGAAAAAGTTCCAGGACCCACTGTGAATTTGACTTCCACAAAATTCTTTTAGGCCGGTGCCCTGGCTCAGAGGTTAAGAAAACTTGTTACTCTTGCAGAGGACCCGAGTTCAGTTCCCAGCACACACAGGATGGTTCACAACCATCCTCAACTCCAGTTGTAGGGGATCTGACCAACCTCTTCCACCACTGGGCACACACATGGTGCATATACACACATGCAGGCAAAACACTCATACCAAAAGATGAAAAATCTAAAGAACAAACAAGCATGTTGATCACCTGACAGCCACAAGTCCCTACTTCAACTCAGAAGTATTGTCAGTTTAGAACCAGTGTCCACTAGGCCGTGGGACGTCCAAATGTTCCCATTTCTCAGAGGTACAATTGCACTGTTAGAACAGCATTCGACCGACCGCCCCTCTGTATAAAGGATACACGAAAGGCTAACATAGACTCTTACTCAGAGGACCTGGCCTTCCCTTCAAGGGGTTCTGGGTTTGTCGACTGGTTCACGGGTTGACAGGCCAGGATTCTCTGTTGCCGCCATCAAGTGTTACCTTTCTTTCACTAGAATCTTCTGTTTATGTAGATTGAACTAAAAGCGGTACCACATGGTCCTCCTCACTCACGGGCATTGGACAGGGCTCAGGAGACTGCAGCCAATGGCACTTCCCTGGCCTTGAGGACTGTCGTCTGGCTGTGGAAAGGCTTGGTTACTGTCTGAAGCATCCTCTGGCACTCCAAAGGTCAGACCAGGCCAAGCTTGGACCTAGGAGCTAGTAGTCTGAACATCCCAGTGGACGCTGAAGCCATAGGCCATACAGTTTGTAATTAATATAAGCCTCTAAGTGATTATTTTGCAAGTGGCTGTGGGATCATGGGGCCGGCAGGGCCGAGAAACTTCCAGCTACATACCTGTCTGATGGGAAAAGAAAATGACCAACGATCACATCTCAGTGATCGAATTTACCACCGATTTAAAAATGAAGATGTTGGGGGCCAGTGAGAAGGCTCGTGAAGGTAAAAGTCACTTGTTGTATATGCCTAGCACTTTGCTTCCTTCGATCCCCAGAACCCACAGTGGAAGGAGAGAGCCAGTTCTCAAAAGTTGTCCTCTGACAGCCAGGTATGTTGCATATGCATGCACACGAACCAAACAGGGCGGGGCGGGGGGTAGGGGTGGGGTGGCCAGCTGGTGAGGGGTTTGTTGCCATGCCTGACTACCTGCAGTACATTCCCTGGACCCACGCTAGGAGACTAGATAAATTGTTCTCAGACTTCCACACACCCACTGTGGCACGAACACATGCCCAGTGGGAGCCTTCAAAATGTAAATAATAGATTAGTGTCCAGGGTCAGTTAAAACCCATTACTTCCCCTGGAAATAGGTAGCACAACCTAAAACGCCCCGCTGTGGAAGAGCAGAACAGAGCGCATCTGAGATGGAATCCCTTGTGCGCAGTGAAGTCTGCAGGCTATTCACCCAGCATGGAAAGATGGAGGCCAGCCAGAAGACGGAAGCAAAAGGATCACTAATTCAAGGCTGGCCTGAGCTACAGAACAAATTCAAAGTCAGTCTGATCAATGGAGTGCGACTATTTCAAAATGAAAAATAATAAAAGGAGCTGGGGGCAGGGAGATGGGTCAGTGGGTAAAGACACTTGCCATCAAGCCTGATGAGGAGTTCCATCCTGGGACCCACGAGGTAGGAGAGAACCCCTCCCCCTGAAAGTCATAGTCATCTCTGATCACACTAAATAAATAAGCAAACAGATCTGAAAGCCTAGCTGGGACCCTGAGTACCACAAATGAACTAGTGTGTGTGTTTGCATGTGTGCATGCCCGCACATTATTTACAAATGGGAGAAACCAAGTGGGGTATGGCAGCATACATTATTATCCCAACACTCATGAGGCAGAGGCCGGCAGATCTCTGTGAGTTTGAGGACAGCCTGGTGTACAGAGTGAGTTCCAGGACAGGCAAGGCAACACAGACCCTGTCTCAAAAAGAAGAATGAGAAAAACCATGACAAAGTGTATAGAAACTAACATTCAAACTTTTGTGTACATTGTAATTTTTTTTTGTTTTTTTTGAGACAGGATCTTCATAGCCCTTCCTCTCCTGGAACTCACTATATAGCCCAGGCTGGCCTCCAACTAACAGAGATCCACCTGCCTCTGTTTCCTGAGCATTGGGATTAAAGGCAATCACCATGTGTACATTCTAACAAAATTTTGCTCAAAGCCTTTCCAAATTTGCTAGATTTTAAAAAATTCCTTATTTATTTTTTAATTTACTTATTTTATGTGTATGGGAGTTTTGCCTGCATGTGTATTAATACACCATGTGCATACCTGAGGCCCATAAAAGCCAGAAGAGGACATTGGATCTCCTAGACCTGGAATTATAAGGCATTGTGAGCACCATGTGGGAGCTGAGAAGTGAACCAGATCCCCTGGAAAAGCAACCAGTGCTCTTAACTGCTGAGCCATCTTTCCAACCCTCTTATGCACTTTTTTCAAGCTGACATGGGTCAAAGATATTTAGTAAGCTTTTTATATTACTGAGTTATGAGAATTTGTTACATATTTTGAATACCAGTGTGCTGTGTGTTTTACAAATATTTTCTACCAGTTTATGACTTCTTGTTTTTATGTGTCTTAGAAATAGGAGTTATTTTGGGGGTTTAGAAAAATGGCTCAGCAGTTAAAAGCACTTGCTGCTCTTACAAAGGACCCAGGTTCAGCACCCAGCTGCCACACTGCAGCTCACCACTATGTGTACCTCCAGTTCCAGGACAATTGGCAGCCTTTTGTGGCCTGAGGGGGCACTGGGCTCACACACGCAGGCCAAACACTCATACACATACAATAAAAAGGTGGTCCTGGAACTCACGCCATAGACCAGGCTGGCCTTGAACTCAAGGATCCACCTGTCTCTACCTCCCAAATGCTGGGGTTAAAGGCATGTACCGGGGTTAAAGGCATGTGCCGTCACACTCAGCTTTCTTTTTCTTCCTTCTCTCTCTCTCTCTCTCTCTCTCTCTCTCTCTCTCTCTCTCTCTCTCT